CCATGCGATGAAGACGTTGACAATTTTCCAAAATTGAATGAATAAGAACTTGAAAAGGTCTTCCGCCGATTGGCGGACCTGGCTCTTAGTCGTAGGCTTCATGTTTGCTGTTAGTCGAGAGATCATTGACTTCCGGACATGATAGGATCTTCATCGGATAGGTATCATGTTATTCTTATACAGCTGTATTACCTTACATTGACGCTCGCCTGCGAGCCTCGAGCAGCAGTCACATGCCAGCCAAGACATAGAGGCTGTTCAAGGCAGTTTCTGCATTAAGCCAGCATCTCGAGCCTCGTGTAGCAGCATGTCATCCCGCCACCAGGCAGACAACAAATGGAATTTGTCTCAATCGTCAGCATCTGCCACCAATAAGAAAGCATACAGACGCGCTGCCGTTCAGCTTGCCGTTGAAGTGTATCCTCGAAACCGCCCCCAAGAACGGCGGGGTCCCATACCTGTCATCCAATATCTCGATTCAGAAGGTAGGAAACGAAGTGGTAAGTGTGTACAACTCGATGCTGACTCCCGACTTACGTCCGCCGTCCAATGAGCACTGTCGGGGACGATCTCCCTTCCCGGCCGCCTTGCGCAAGTGTCCGGCTGAGGTCAGCCAGCTGAAGCGCCTGCTGACATGTTTGTCTACACGACTGGATCTGGTTCGCACTTGACCGCGAACTTGCAGCTGTAGAAGCCTTTCTGGCTTTGAAAGGGGTAATGTATGCTGCATGTTTATCGACACTTTTGGGATAGCAAACGGGACTCAAAGTCAGGAATCAAGAGAGCAGGATGCCTGCTGAATGTGAGGGTGTCGTCATCTTACGGGGCTTCACATAGGCCAATTGATGACTCGACTGGAGGCTGATGTGCATGGCATGACTTGTGGAGTCGAGCCTTGGTGGAAGGGTGGCCTGAGACATCAAGATGAGCAATGATGAGTCCCTCGTTGGCATTACGGTCTCTACTCCGGCTCCAGGTTGTCAGTGCATCCTAGGCTGTGTCTGTTGATGGGCATTGCCTTGCGAGGTGAAGTGAAGTGTTGATTAACTCACATGCATTTCTCACCTCTCGTTCTCGGAGACTGTAGGTAGAGGGCTTGGTGAGGGACTGTGTCAATTGCGTCTCGAGTTGACGAAGTGTGGTATCTGAAAGGGGAAAAGGGAACAAAACTGTGTCTTCGGGACGTTTCCGCTGTCCAACTTTTTGCTCAGCATGGGAACAGATATGTGGCAGGTAGGTACAGCCAGAGCAACTTCCACATGTTAAAGGCTACGGGAAAGAGGCACCCGTTCACCTCCGCCTCTTGAAAGGTAAGCAGGCGCGGGCACAGATACGGCCTTCCCCTTCTAGCAAGCTACATATCCGCATGTCTCGCGTAGATACTACAAGGAAGGTCTCGATGAGCAGCTCCTTCCTAGAATTGCGTGGCATGAGATCGCTCAAAGGATGTTTGCGTTTAGCGAAGAACTTATGGAGTCAGCCTGCTACTGCCGCTCACTCGCGAACATCCCAATGCATTCAGCGCGCGTGCGTGGATCGCTGCTCGGTCACCATCTCTAGGCGTGGTAGCAAGAGTCGCAGTAAACTCTCTTGGTTAAACTCTCAGGTACGCCTGGGTGCGTGTGACTGCGTATGAGCTGCTCGGTGTAGACTCCCAGCTGGTGAGCAAGCAAAAGGAAAGGCACACCACATCGAGCCGAACTCTTCTTCATACCATCGCGCAAGGCGATGAATACAATGAAAAGTGTGGTTGAAAATCAAAAATTGCCACAGCGATGGCCCCGAAGGACAATCGAGAGAGGTCTACTCCGCGATGTGCAATGCAGGCATCCCTCTCTGCAGTCCGGATTTCTTGATCCCCAGACTGCCCATGAAGGTAAGTATGAAGAAGAAAAAGAGGAAACAGTGTAAAGGCGGGAGATTGGCTGGGATTATATAGGTGTCCAGAGGGCAACAGAGTGGGGCCACATTGGCCTCAATCACTCGGTGGATCCGATTATTTTACAGCCAATGAAAAAACAAGACCAGGTTATTGTTTTTTAATTGGCCGAGATGGCAAGGGTTATGGAGCACGTCCCCGAATCTTCTACTCACGTGACCATGCAAACCGTTGGAACCTGGTAGCCGTTGGGGTGCTTGTTGATGTCTCACAGGAAAGAGCATTGCTACCAGGGCAACAGATAGAGGGCTGGGCTGTGAGATGATCCGTCTAGATTTGGCTCGAACGGCGCATCTTATAGAGTTGAACTTGGCGCCCATGCTATGTATGGTGAATGATATTTGTCACTCAAGTACTGCCTCACTCAAGTACTGCCTCACTCAAGTACTGCCTCACTCAAGTACTGCCTCACTCAAGTACTGCCTCACCCAAGTTACTGCCGACATGTGCTGGAACTTTAGCTTCCTTCTCAAAGTCGAAGGTGTATGGACCTTCCGTTAGGTATTATAAGTAAATGGCCACAAACTGGATGGAGAGTTGCGTTGCAGGAACCTTGGGGACGATGGTACCTATTTGCCTCCAAATCACCAAGGTTCTCCAGAGACAGCAATTCTCTGATATGGCAGCCCGGCAGCATCGCGAAGCATGAACTGAAAGGCAGTTCCTACCGGATGCAGATAGAGGAGTTTGTGAGCCTTACAGGCCTGCGAGAGGGAGATCGACCAGCCCGATGCTCGCAACCTTTACTTCGCAAACTTAGGAGGTTGCCATCCATCCCTTAGCATATTTGTGTCGATGAATCTCTTCCAGAAGAAGTGATCGACTGCTGTGACTCGTTGATGAGGGCACGCCACAGTGAGTAGAGGAAGTTTCTCTGGGATGGAAAAGTCGATGAGTGCACCGTTGCTGTTCAGAGAGGTACATGAGACTAAGGCTGCGACGCGTAGCTGTGCGAAGCAGTCACAGTTCAGTCTCAGGGTATTATTTGACTAGAAATGTCCAATCTCAGAACTTTCAGTGTTGTACGATAGTTGGCAGTGTCAGCGTTTCTTCGTTCGTCTTACACGCTGGCTGAAGTTGACTGACTAATCAACATGTTGAGGGAAACTAGTTGGCATTCAACCTTTCGAGATGCTCAACGCAATGCCATGTTCCGCAATCTCATGTCATCTAGGACATTCAGTATCACTATATATCACGATAGAAATATCCAACTTTGACAACGATAATAACAAATTGGAGATGCTACGGCCTGCAATCAATGGCGAGATGCTACTCGAGCTGACCCCGCGTCCAGCAATTGATGAATCACCAAATCGACCATTACAAAAGATCGCCAGAAGTAAGCGACAGAAAAGTTTCACAGGCTGCTGGACTTGCCGCGAACGCCATGTGAAATGCGACGAACAGCGACCAGCGTGCCGGCGCTGCGTTGCTGGCAAGTTCACATGTCAAGGATATGGCACGCGACTGACCTGGCTCTCGCCCACGGGAACAGGAACATCAAGCAGTGGTGGCCGGCGTCGGCCGAGGACAAAGGCCAGCTCCTCATCGCAGAACCCTTTACAATCGCCGAACCAAGGGATATCTACAGATGTTGATAATCAACAGACCGGCCCGCTTCTAAGATTCCGGGCGTGCGAACCACGCGTCATGGTTGAAGATGCCTGGCAAACTGGTAGAAGCACTGCGAGGAGGGAGCCACCGTCTCAAAACGTCCAATCGCATGATCAAGGACTGGAAATGCTACAGAACAGTAGATTGGACGTTGAGTGGAATTCTTTTGACGTCTCCAGCCACTGGGACCTATCCCTCATGGGTAATCCGGCATGGCCACTAGAAGCACCATCAGCTCCTGCTCGAGAAAGAGAACTCATCAACCACTGGGCGACGAACCTCGCACACAAAATGATACCCATTCGCAGCCCAGCGAACCCATTTCTGACGACTGTATCGCCCATGGCTCTCAAGGGAAGCCGCCTCGCCAAGACGAGATCAACATCAACCGTCGCTCTGTTCCATGCAGTCTGCGCCATCTCCGCGGCCCACCAGGCGAACATCAGAGGCACCGACGACGCCCATGCCGGCTACGCAGATCTGATGCTCCGTCATAAACAGCTGAGCTTCCGCCACCTTATGCAAAATATGAGCTGCAGAGACCATGACGAGCGGATGGCGAGTCTGGCCACTCTCTGCCTATGGATCCTCACTCACTTTATCACCGGCACCGCGGGCGCCTGGCGCGAGGTCATAAAGGTGACCCGTGACCTCCTCGACGATACGAGCATGGAAACCTGGAGACAGTCGACTACCGCCGCCTTGACGTACGAGTCCTGCTCCTCCACCTTTGCCACGGTGCTTGCCCAGTACCTCGGACGATTAGACGCTCCCGTCCCGATGAAGACGTATCTGCCAGACGTCGAGCTATCGAAGAGCCAAATCATGCCGGTACGATCTCTTGAGCTGGTCTGCTCCTTCAACGCAAAACTTGTGCACTCCTCAATCCTTGCAGAAGAGGACCTCGACCAACTAGAGATCGAATTCGCCTTGTCTACGCCTGAGCCTTCGGTAGATTACGACGCCAACAACGCGGAGTCGGCCATGGTGCACCACCACCGTTCGCTATTCTACCACGCGTGCTTACTCTACTTCAAGGGCAACTCTGGGAGGCGAGGCCCCGAAGAGGACGTCCAAGATCTGGTTGCTAGGTGTCTTGACCACATGGAGCACCTCGAATCCCTGCAGAAGAACAGCAGCCCCAAAGCGTGGATCTACGCCACAGTGGCCTTTGAGGCCAGGACACCGGAGCTTCGGGATAGGGCAAGATTGCTATTCTCTAGAAAAAAGTCACTCGGGATCGCTACCTGGGATACGCTGCTTCTCGCGGTTGAAGAGGTGTGGAAACGCCGCGACCTGGCTGCCCCTGGTGTATCACCGGAGCCTTGGACGCGTGTACTTTCACGGATGCCAGAGTTTGATGTGATTCTCTATTGAGATAGGTTCTGTGAAGACTATCTAGACCTTCCACTCCTGTTTCTAAAAAACACCTAGTCTCTTACCCCTAAACGATGACCTCAGGATCCTTCTCAACCTCGGCCAGCAACTCCCTCACAGTCCTAAACTTGAGGCCAGAAAAGTACTTCTCGCGATGAGCAGCAACCTTTTCGACAGGCAGATCCCCAGCGTGACTGGCAGAGAAGATCCCATACTCTGCGATAATCCGCTCCTCGCCATTCGGGTCCGGGTGGGCAACGATATCCTCAACGTACTCAGCCAGGCTGCGATACTTCACACTGACCTGCGGGTATCTCTCCCGAATCAGCGGGACAATCTCATTCCAGGTCGCCTTCCCTCCCGAGATGTACGTATACCGCTCCCAGCTCGGCGCAAAGAGGAGCTTGCCCACAGCACGAACCACGTCCCGAACGGCGGTCATATCCAGAGGCTCCTTGCCGGTCCCAGGAATCAGCATGCTTCCACCCGCAAGGTTGACGGGGATGGCGTCTCCGCCGTCGTTGAGGTAGCGGTTCTTGCGCGGCACAACATAGTCGATGAACCATCCGGTCGAAAGCAGCGTCCACTCCAGCCCCGTCTGCTGCTCCTCCAGCATCTTTCGAACCACTCCCTGCCGACGAGCGTAGAAGCCCGGCTGGTCTGGGAAGTCCTCCAGATTACCACCGTACTCGGCGGGGATGAAGCGCTTGCACGTCTTGCTGGCTTTCGCCGCCTCGATGAGGCGCGCGTGAACGTCGACAAAGGCCGGGGAGTAGTCCAGAATGTTGGACACCAGGGCGACGGAGCCCTCGATGCCCTCGAGGATCGAAGGAACCGAGTAATCCGTCACGAACTGGCGGACGCCCTGGATGTTTTCGAGCTCGGGTTTGAGAGAGCGAGTTAGGATGACGAGGTCGATGCCCATTGCGGGGAGCTCTTCGGCGAAGTAGCGGGTTACGGCACCCGAACCGGCGATGGCGACACGCATTCTGGATGGTGGGTATGGTTGAAGGTGGGTACAGAAGACTATTGATTTATAGAGCAGGGCAATTGTACAGCTGCTATGAGTTTGTTGATGCTCAAGATCTTTTGGCTTTTGGAAGATGGCTCAAGCCATCCTCTTATACTCGCCCTATCTGACCATTATGTAGTCGAGTCTCCAAACAAGGCATCTTCATCAATCAGCATCCGGCGTCATTAACGAGGGTCTGCTGTATTCAGGACTGACATAATCTTCCACGTTTATAAGCAGAGTGATTGTCAAGCCACAGCCAAAGCATCAATGCAGACATCGAAGCCGACGATGGTGTTGACAGCCCGTGTTGGTCTACAGATCACTTCCCGATCGGGCAGTTCACAGCGAGCTTGCTCTTGGCGTCAAAATCGCTGATTAAGCTGGTTCCGTCTGCCAGCCCCAAGCATCTCAACTTCTCAAGAGACGCAGTGGAAAACTCCAAGGAAAAGGGGCGAGCGGTTCAATATCACATGCAGAGTAAAGTCAGAGTATGATAATGGCATGGGGTATCCCTTCCGATTGTTCTCCGCCAACAAACTGCTGTCCTCGAAGGCCTGGTATATATACAATGCGGACCAGAATGATTAAGCAGAGCCAAAAAAACAAAACTTGTGACAATTTCCTTCTCCTGAGTGACTCGAACCAGAGTCATACTCCCGTCCAACAACCTGATATCTGCAAAATTCAACCCAAAACGCCATACAAGGGCAATGTCTCGCTCAAAGTGCAAGCGTCAAGCCATGCCATGATCCTAACCCTGAATGCCCTCCCAAGTGAGTTGGTCAGTGATGTCTCTAACACTCAATCCGGTAATACTGAAGATAGTGAAGTCGAGCTCTTCATCCGACATATCCTGTCCAACCTGTTTCTGTCCCTCGAGCACATCATAGAGTGCGTAGATTTGGCCGTTCTTGACCTCCTGCGCGTTCATATTGGCGTCAATGTTTGTCTTGAGCTGCTTGCGCTTCGTCTCCGCAAGAGCAGGGTTGTGGTTATCGTATCGAGCCTGCATCTTGGCGTGTTCCATCTTCATGTGCTCCAGCTCATCCTCGAGACCCTTGATGACCTTCGCCAAAGCATGTCCAGGAGGCTGAGAAGGACGCATTGTGAGGTCGTCCGCGGCAGTGCCCAGCGTCTTATACTGATCCGAGGGAGCAACGGGCCTAGAGATCTTCACTCGCTTCTTTCCCTCAGCAATGTCGGCAGAAGTGATCGTTCCCCGATGAGCCTTGATCCGAGTGCACACAATGCAGTTCTTACAGCTGTGTCCGGCCAAGCTATCCAGGACACGTCGAGCGTCGGAGGTCAAAGCAGGACAGTTGCCCTTGACATCAGTAGTCGAGGTATGGTCTAGCCCGCCCTGCGTAATCAGATCGACGGTAATGGACTTGTCCTTGGAAGGCTTTGTTGTGGACTTTGATGACTTCTGGCTCTGGCTAGTCAAGTTTCGGGTGGTGTTCGTTGTTTCTTGGTGGACAGTACGAGACTCCTTTTTGCTCTTCGTCTTCATGTCGATCACCATGGAGTGAGTCTGCGTCTGGGTGTGCTCGGGCGATTGCATGTTGCCCTCGTCATCGGCTTGGAACGGGTCGAGATCGGGGAGAGAAGCCCCCTTGAAAGAGCTCTTGGGAGTGGATTGGGCAGAGATGCTCCTCTTGCTACCCTTGTTGGCAGTGTTGGAGGCCTTACTGCTCTTTTCCCTCGCGCTCTTGGATTTGGAACTCGCTGCCAACCGTTCGGGGAGAGAGAAGGACACCTTCTGCTGACTGGTCGAGTCCTGCGCACGGTGGGTGGAGTCTCGTCTCTTAGAACGACCCTCGGCTGCGACGGAGCTCTGTTGACTCTGAACAGTGTGGTCAAGCTCATTAACACTGCGATCTGTCTGCTCAGTGGTGTCCTGAATCTCGGCAGCCTTCCTGCCTGGCGTCGCTTGCCTCTGGATCTTCTTCGGCTCAGGGGTGAAATCGAGAACCCTCGAGTTTTGTGTGCTGTCAATCGTAATGTCCGGCATGAAGAACGCCGAAGTCATGTTCTCCTCCGTTTCCTCGTCGTCAACTCCCTTATCCAGACGCACGGAAAAGTCATCCGTCTTTCCGAGAGGACGGCAATGGTCGAGCTGCTGCTTGAGGAACTCAATCTCCTCCTTCAATTGCATATTCTCGTCGTGAAGGTCGTGAATGCTGCGCTCGAAACCCGAGTTTTCGCGGCGAAGGATCTTGTTCTCGTTGAAGTATTTCTCGTTGTGGCGAACGAGGCTATCGTTGTCCTCCTTGAGAGTGGATTTCTCTTGCTCCATGGTGTGAAGCTCAACCTGCAAGGCTTCGACTTCATCGCGGGCTGCCTCGAGATCCTCCTTGGCATTGGTCGTGGTCTGGCGAAGCTCCTCGTTCTCGGACATGAGCGATCGCGCATTAGCCCTCAAAGACCTGTTCTCGTTGATAAGAGATTCTTGCTCGCGCCTCAGAGAGTTGTTGTCTGTCCGCAGAGACTCCATTTCCTGTTGCAGAGTTTCCTGTTCCTTGCGGATGGTCTGGTTCTCTTCCTGAAGAGCTTTGTTATCGGCGGACTGGACCTCGTGGCTTTGCTTCTCCTGACGGAACACCTCTTGCTGGTTGGTAAACTCCAGAGTGGCATTGAGCTTATCTTGGGTCTCATGGAGTTCTCTTCCCTTGATTTCGAGTTGATCCATGAGATCGCCGATTTGCATACAGGCGTCTGAAAGCTTCTTTAAAGCCCGGTCTCGCTCCAAAGACAAGGTGTTATTTTCGACCTCGTTAATGCCGAGCCGGGTGCTTGCCTGGTCCAAGCGTGCTTGCAAAGATGTTACCTGCGATTCCAACTCTGTCACTGGTTAGATGGAATTTCAACGAGCAGTCTCATGATACTCACTCAGCTTCTGTGTCTGATAGCGCTCCTCGCCAGCCGTTTCCGGCTCTGAGCCTGTCCGGGACCCGAGGGCACTATCGATAGACTTGCGGCCCTTGATGCGCTTCAATTCGGTCTGAAGATGGTCCACCTGATTCTCGAGCTCTACTGCATGCTGCTGAACTAAATCATCGTGCTCCTGAAGATTGCAAATCTCGTTCCGGATCATATCCATAGACACGAATATCTTCTCTTCATCCTCGGGAATCGCAAGGCCGTCCACCTCGGCATGGTCATTGGGCGGCAAGGTATCAATGCGGTCCCGCACTTGTCCGTTCTTCACGAAGACTGGGACGCCATTCTTCACTGCGCCATTGAAGCGCAAGTTGCCGGAGATGAAGTCATTGAGGTGAGAGATATCGGGCATGAAGAAAGAGCGTGACGTGGCGCCATTTTGTGCCGGGCTATCGGTAGTGGCCGGCGAAGGGAACGTGCTTCGGATCGTGTTGAATGTGACAGGCGTAGACTTATTTGTATGGACGTTGTCGGCCGTGGTCTGCTTCGGGGTGGCTTGTGTTGGGGGAGCCAGGAAGTCTGACTTCCGTCGGTCCGTGTTGGCGGCGTAGGAAGATCGCCGTGCTGACTTGTGATTGCCAGATGCTGATCGAGCGTGTCCTCTTGACAAGGGACTACGGTTCATCTGCTGTTGAGGGTTGAACTTGAAGCTGTCGGCATTGATATCGAATCGGAAAGGTGACTTGGACATGTTCGCTGACATATCGGACTCGTTGTCTTCGACGCGGGGCTGCATTTCAGCACGCGTCCGCTTAGAACCCTGCCAAGTCATGTCCGTGGAGTCGTCATCCATGTTGGAGAGATATTTCTGGACAATAGCCTTATGGGAGACGGTGTCCTTGTGACGGAATGAGCCTGTGGACTTGGGAGCGGGGTGGTTGTGTCTTGCTTCGACATTGGCCTTCGGCTTGCCGTAGAATTCGGGCCACTTGCGGTGGGCAGCATCCAAGTCTACTTGTATCTTGCCACCAGTAGGACCAATAATCCGAGCAATATCTTCGTTGAGTCTGCGGGTGGATTCTCCGTCGGGTTCTGAGAAAACAGAGGACATGGTCGGGCTGACGGTGCCGTGGGAGCCTGTCGAAGAAGGCGGGGAGTTGAATGGATTGTCGCGATTTGCGTTCATTTCCCGCAGAATGCGAGAACGGTAGCGGTTGTGTGCTGAGTCGGCCTCCATGACTGCCCCGGGACGCGTCGGGCGCGGTTTCCGGGATGGGAGTCGAGAAGAAAAAGTAGATTCACGATGGCGCCGCAATGGGTAGAAGCGACGCGTCGAATAGCTGATATCGCGCAGACAATTAGATGGTAAGACTGAATCGAAGCAATACCGAGCAAGAGAAAGGTGCTCAAGGCATAGAAGCGCGCACAATGGCTAGACGAAAGACAGAAGAAGCTGTGGTGTATGATGAAGTTCACAACCCAAGCAAATGATGGAGAAGGAAGAAGCGTCCTAGTGCGGAAGGGCAGGGGTCGGTTTGTTTACTTTCGGAGCCGCAGGCGTAAACAATTGGCGATTGGCCGTGGGCGTCAGTGCATGTTAGTGGGGCAGCCCTGCCTCCCCCAGCCCAGCTCAGTGCCCTTGCTGGACGAATCATCACTAACAAGTCGCCAGCCTCCAGCCCTCTGCAGCTGGAAACGCGTGCTGGTTGGTCTGCACTGGACAAAGAAACGCGCCCTTTTGTTCGCACAAGACAGGGTCGGGAAACCGTCAAGTCAAATTGGCAAAGGCTTCTCATTTTGATCTAATGTCTGTATGTGTTTAGACATACGATTACTATAATTGGCATACAAATACAGGTCCCAAAAGTTGTGTTAAATATGACCGGGACTTTAAGTAAGGCGGGCAAGGTCAATTAACTTAATGAAGCAGGGCACTCGGTTATTTCTTCCGTCATTACGTCAGCCATCCATTCTCTCCGCCGAGGTGAAGAGACACTTCCGCCTTCCTCACCGAGCCAGTCATCGCTGTCTTCACTTGAGACCTATTGTAGACTCGGTGAGGCAAGACACGTGGTAAGCACTTAGAGTTTCCGCTAGTCGTGCAGATGAATAAGACACCAACATCAGGAACGGGAAGAACCTTCCTCAACTTTTACCGCTCACACCAAAAGTCATCTAGCAGGTAGGCGCAAGGTGGTTGAGACAGATTCTAGCACGGTCGAGCACATCTCAACGCATCTCTAACAGACCGACTCGGTCCGTTTCACCCTAGTGATGCATTCCCCGACTCGCTCAAGCACTCACGGCACTTTTCAACGGCCGTCGACTTCCATTCCTACTTCAAGGTCAAGTCCCATGACCCGAGACATCTCATCCGTATCTTACCTAGATAATTCTTTTAGTCAGGGAGACGTTGCTTCGAGGTTGGAGAGCCTCTACAACCGTCTATACTTACTTGAGATATGACTGCTCTTGGTTCTGTCCGTGGGCACAAGGCGCGGGTCACCAGGTCCACCAACTTGGTCGCCAGATATCAGCAGGTGATCACGCCGACTGCGAGCGGTGCCATGCCATCGTGGGCGTTGGTTTTCCTTACACCGCCGAAGAGGCTGGAAAGCGTGGAACCGTTCATGCACAACGTAAGGTACTTGGTTAAGGTAGTCTCGTGCAAGGTACGTATTGCCTTGCCGTTGGTAGGTAGTAAAGAGATCCAAACCAAGCATCCTTCCGATCACCTCGCGCGCAGAATATTCGTTCGACACATGGCGATGATAGTGGCAGAGGCAGGATCCATTAACATGTTTACTGCGATCTAATGCGTACAATCTTCTTCAGCGGGTAGCCGAACCTCGTACTCGATCGGCAAAGGAATTGAACCGATTCTCTCTTGCCCAGGGCTCAGGGCAGTGAGGGCAGTGACAGACTGACAGGACAAAGCGCAGGGTCTTGGCGCCACCAGGAATGCCCCGCATGAACTTGTTCTAGTGGCCGACGCCGCCACCTTTCCGAGGCATGGTGGATGGTGGGCGGGCGTGGTGGGAGGTGACCACCACGCACCGCTTGCACCATCCACTTCTGGCAGTTCTGTGACCTCTCGGTGCGCCATTCTGTGACCACTAGAGTCTTGAGGGGACTTTGAGGGGTCCATCTGCCTCGTGCAGGTGGATCTTTTTTTCCAAGGTTCTCCTGCGAAAACGGGCTTGGCCTGGTCTTCGACTCTGGGCAGTCCATCGCCAAAGAGCCCTGCGCCATCACTCGCTTCCTTCCCGCATTTCGCCCGGCCGCCGTTTGTCTTGCTCTTCCCCAGCTTTTCCACTGGCTTCCCGTATTGCTGCTTGCATCGCATAGTTCCTCCGCATCTTCCCTCGTCGCGTGCCCTCTTTCTTCAACTTTGCCAATTCCTCGTGCATATTATCATTGTACAATTCCCGCTTCGGCGACTGCGAAGTCCTTCTGAACATGGCAGAGCGCTTCCATACATGAGCGGCCTTTTCTGGAGCTGATTGCTCGCCATCATTAACTGAGTTGTCTTATCTTTTGATGATTCTTCCATCATGCGTCGATCAACCCCCCGATTGCCCGAGGCTTGCCTCTCGGTGCTTGCGCTTTCTTCGTGCGCAACAGCCCTCGTTGCGACTCCTCCGAATGCGCTCGAGACGTATTGCCCCATTTTCTATGCCGAAAACCAGCCTCCGACCGACTGCGAACCGAGACAGCCCACGTCCTTCCTAGAAACCCCCCAGGTTGAAAGAGATGCCACTGCTTATACGGCCAAGGCCCAAGACGAGCCACTCGAGGCCACCTTTGAAGCTCTTACTGTCATGCAGCATGACTTCTTCGTATCGGATCAGGGAACATGGCCCGAAGCCATCGACTGGACTGCGGCCGTCATGGAAACGATGCTGTCAGGCTCATTGACTTCGCTCTCGCAAGCATTGGCTGTTCTCGATATTGGAGGAAGCGGTGATAAGGGGGCCAAAAGAAACCTCATTGATACTTTCTTTACTCAATTAGTGGCCTCATACTTCGGCCAGGACGACGTTGCGATCCGCCACCAGGTGCGTCTCTTACCCCCCATAGATATCACTTCCAAGCAGCGCATGCTGACCAGTACATAGGCTTTCGACGACATTCTTTGGGTTGTTCTTGGTTGGATCGACGCCATCAAGTTTATTGACATACACTCAAAGCTCTTCTATCCCCGGGAAGGCCTCAACGAAAGCGCAACGCCAGGCCTGGGAGATGCCTTGGCGAACGGGCCCTGGCATGGGCAATACTGGATACCCTCTTTTGCTCACCGGGCCAGAATCTTCTGGGACCTTGGGTCCAAGGGTTGGGACACACTACTCTGCGACGGCGGTATGAACTGGAACCCGAGATTGGAGCCCTACAAGAACGCCATCACGAACGAACTCTGGATTGCGGCTTCGATCTCAATGTACCTCTGGTTTCCCGGTGATAACAACACCACGCCGTGGATCAACCGTGCCAGTGGTGTGGAGGCCACACGAGAGCCCAAGTACCTCGCCGCTGCCATTGAAGGCTACAGATGGCTCACTGGCGTTAACATGACCAATCATGCCGGTCTCTATGTTGACGGCTATCACGTTGATAGATCCAAACCGGGCAACACCAAATGTGATCAGCGTAGTGAAGCTGTCTTCACCTATAACCAGGGAGTGCTCTTGACTGGCCAAAGAGGCCTATTTGCCGCCACAGGCAGTGCTTCTTACCTGGAAGATGGGCACAGGCTGATCCAAAACGTTATCAAAGCCTCGGGCTGGGATTTGACGCTCAACAAGCCAGTTGATGACTTGTCAAAACTCCCTCCAGGTTACTTGCCCCCCTGGCGAGGCCTGGGCCGAGGAGGTGTCATGGAAGAAACCTGCGATGCTAGCGCGACTTGCTCCCAGGACGGGCAAACCTTCAAGGGCATTTTCTTCCATCACTTTGTAACCTTTTGCCAGCCACTGGACGCCGCCATCGTTGAGCGCGGCATGACTGTCAACGCAAATGCGTACAATCAAGTCAAGACGACCCACGCATCGGCCTGTCAGGCCTATCTGAAATGGGTTGAGCACAATGCTAAAGCGGCCTTGTTGACTAAGGACAGGGAAGGCCGTTTCGGTACGTGGTGGGGAGCAGGCATTTTCTTGAAAAGTGCGCCGACAATGCAGACGGACGGTATTCCTCACGACGCACCCAATGTGACTGATTACCGTAACTACGGGCTGCCGAACGACGGCGTTTGGGCCCATGGTAATCCTGACGAGGTATGGGCACCAAATGGCGAGGCGCGCAAGAATGAGAAGAAGGGCTACGTCCTGGTCGGTGATGATGAACACTCTGGACAGCAGGTTCTTGGTGGTTCTGATAGGCAAGGATCTCGTAAAGTGGACGAGGTCGGATCTGAACGGCACGTGAAGTCAACGGCAGCGACTGGTGATCCGAACGACCGCGGCCGGGGTAGGACCCCGGAGACGCAGAACGGCGGAATGGCTTTGATGCGGGCTTGGTGGGAGCTCGTAGCGGCGTCCAATGGTACGTACGAACCATAGCGGCAGATGAGACGACGATGAAGATATGCATGATATGAAGTCATTTTGGCTATCTAGCTATTTGCCTTTTTGGGCCTACGAGTATAGACGAAGAAGTTCTTCCCCGTATATACGCACGCATGGCATAGCCGCCGGCCGGGTACGCCGGCCTTCGTTTTGGACATTCCTGCTTTTTTTCTTTACCTCTCCCGCATTCGCACTTCAGTAATTATGGTGGTCGAGAATACTTATTGACTGAACCGGAGACATCGTACTCAATGAGGCACCATTCACTCTGCCCCACTACCTTACTTTCAAGGGTGTCTTACCCGCGGGACGCTATCAAGACTACGACTGCTGCGCCGTACCTGACCACGCTAAAATCGTACCAAACCAGCCATCATTGGTCACTTAGCCGAGTGCGAACGATGCTGACATGCTGACATCCTTCCCCATTCCCGCTGTAGCCTCCAATCTCCATTGCGTGGCTGCTCAGCCATCCATTTAGGGGGCCTGGAAGTCCAAGAACTTCGAAGGAGTGCAGGAGGCTAACCAACACCTCGCACCTTTGATCGAAAGAGGGGCACCCCCGGGGTTCGCGAGGGCCGCTTCGAGTGGTTAAACTTGGGCGGATCCGGCAGCACGGTGCCGGGCTGGACCCACTTGGCTGCCGTGGCTTGGCAGGAGATTCGCTGCTGGGTCGTTGTCCTGCCCGCTACGCCAGAACGCCGTGCGCCTCTGGGGCTCTGGGGAAACGCTTTCGAATCGACTTCCCAATGGGGGGAAGGAAGCTTGGAGGGCGCAGATATGGGCTTGTGGGAATCGAGATGGGGATGCTGGGTGGTGGTCTTCCCCCCTCTTTGTTGATATTGTGCTTTGGAGGCAGCTAGATATAAAGGGTTGGAAGATTCCTGATGATTTACAAGTTTGAATTTGGAAGAGCATCAGAAGCATTGAGCATCACCAAGCATCATACATATCCAATAGCACACTTTGGATATCTTTCCCCATACAGACCAACACATATCCATCATCTTAAGCATCGCATCGCATCTATCATCAAGTCTTCGTCCATTCAGCCAGCCACACCCACCATCAAGACCCGTCACCAAGCTTTCCAGCCTCCAACCTCCAACCTCAGAAGCAAAAACACCACACAAACTCACACAATGGGTCTCATCACCGGCCTCGTCTCAACCGTAGTCCACGCCGCCGCCGGCCGGAACCCCTACAGCCACAACCACAACAACCAGTCCCCCGTCACAACCCCCGGCAGTGCTGGCCCCAGTACCGTCGCCGGCCCCCACGAAGGCCACAACCACACGGGACCCGACGGTCAGCCCTGCGGCATCTGCAAGGTCGCCCTCCCCTTTGGCAAAGGCCGCGAAGCCAAACGCGAGCGCAGAGCCGCGCGCGACGAGCGGAAAGCCGTGATTTATGCCATGAGGGCGCAGCAGCGCGGGGGCAGGAGGGGACGGTACGGGTATGATACTGCTGGGTTCATGGGCGTTGCTGGACCTTATCAGCAGCAGCAGGGATATTGCAACAACAACGGAAACAACATGTCACGTGCTGGCCCGTCGTCTGGGCAGGAGGAGGGCGTTGGGGAGAGGAGACGGGCTTCTACAGGCGACGATGTACCGCCGCCTGCGTATTCTGCTGCCGGACCTTCGTCTATGAATGTTGGCGTTGAGGCGAGTCGGAGCGTCGAGGTTTTGGGGAATGGTGATGAGAAGGAGCGTCCGGAGAAGGCTTGAACGTGGTCATCGGATGTTAGTGATGACTGCTTGCTGGTGTCTTTTGTGTAATAAATAGGGCGAGCGTGGCGTCAGGTACTTTGAGGATAGATGGTCTGAATATTGATTTTCATGGTTCGAAATCACCCTTTTTATTTGACTCTTGGTCTTGTGTCTAATTCACAGATGCTCGGATGCTGTCGTGACGTATGCTGATGTACAATTGGGGCTTCTCTTTTCCTCCGCACCCCATCTTAGGCCCCCTTAGCTTTTTGTGCCCAGACCTGAACCGCCCGTGGCATGGTCTGGTAAGCAAACCTCGTAATTGTTTCCCCATTGCCTTGCCACCTTCGTCCACACTCCCGTGGAAGGTCACGCTTTTGTTGTCTGAGAAAGTGCAGTACTCCTACGAGAACAGCATTTTACCGCTGACCGGAGAGACGACGGCTCTGGACCTCGCCGAGGGCCTTGGTGCCGCTCAGGAAGATGGAGGTCGCGACGATAGCGACGGCGGGCAGGGTCTGGAAGAGGGTCCAGGCGCTGTAGTACATAAAGAAGACGCCCTCCATGGCGACGATGGATCCGAAGAAGGCGACGTGGGAGAGAGGCGCGGCACCGAGGGCCTTTTGGATGTGGTTGACGTTGGCGCCGAGAGAAAGCCACTGCAGAACGGGAAGTAAGTCAATGTTACATTTCCGTGTTACAGGACGCATTGTTCCTTCCAATTGAAGACGGAACATGGTGGGATGATTACTTACGCCGATGAGAAGAACGGGAATCGTGGCCAGAACGGCAATAACAAAGGCCAGCGAGATGATCTTGGGAGGGCTGCGGGGGTCCTCGCGGAAGATGTGGCTGATCTCGGGCTGCTTGCCGTAGCGGAGGGGAGCGTCGTAGGTCGGGGCGGCGGCGCTGGCGTCGCGGCTCACGGAGACGTCGAAGAGGGTGGTTTCGAGGGCCTTGGCGGCACCGAAGGAGCCGATGACGATGCTGGCCTTGAGGGGCTCGTTGGCGAGGAGGAGCTGGACGGGGAGGTCCTTCTGGGCCTGTTGTAGTTCATGAGGATTAGCCTTCCTTGCTTGCCATCGAGGGTTGGAGAAGGATGTAAAACGTACAATGTCGACAACGCCTCGGCCAGTGTCCTTGAGTTCAAGGGGGAAGGGGGCCTCGAGGCCAGACGCAGTCTCCTTGAGGATCAAGAAGGCCTGGTGCGGGCGCTTGGCTTTGTCGCCCTCCTTGGCCGTCAAGATGACCTTGAGAGTATCCTTGGCTCCCAGAGAGAGGGCCGTCTTGAGAGGAGATGTCGCACTCAACCTGTTGGGGGGGCAATTCGTTAGCAATTGGAAGTTCTCTTGCATCACGGCTTTCTTCCTCCTTCCCACCCCAGAGCTTCCAGAAAGCGCAATTGGCAGCAACTCACTTCTCCTTGGTGGCATCCTTGCCCTTGCCAGTAATCGAGACAGTGGCACTATCGAATCCCCATGACGAGGCGGCCTGCGCGGCACCGGCCGCAAACAGCGCGAGGGCTGGCGTTAGGGAGTTGAGGAATCGCATTGTGCTGCTGAGGGTGCTTGTCTGTGGCAGCTTTAGCTTGGGCGTGGGAGCTTCACATCACAGGCCGTTCACTTATGGACAGCTTTCGTGTTCACTACGAACTACCGACCGTGCACGGTCCAACTATAGCGGGACCCTGCAGACAGTACTTTCGCTGTTAACACTGTGTTTTGTACAGTACAAGTAATGGCATCTCATTCTTCAACACCTGGTTACCTTACTCGTACCTACAGTAATATCAGAAGGCCACAAAGATGTTACCAATGGACAAAACTTGAGGTCCCTAAACTCGTGTGGTTGGCATGACCAGAATTTTCTTATGCTTGAGATTCGCGAGGCAATGTCCGCAAAGCGATGCCCATGTTGGAGACACAATGATTCCGATAGTGCCATGAAGCCTGTTGGAGGCTTCGGTGGATCACTGAGTACTAGGTAGGTACTCTTTTCAACTTGAAAGGAAACAAGCCGGTGTTTGCCTCTCCTGATTATATGTTCAGAGACGCGAGCGCCCTTATCCTCGCAGCGCTGCATAATTCAGTGATGTACGCTTTGCTATTTGTCCCCACGAATGGTAACCCCGACTTTCTTTTCAAACTGCTTAGACGTGTCCTGTGCATGCGATTGGTACGAACGTATGTAAATAGCTGAGTTCAGATAACGGTGCACACCATGTACATCATGTACCATTGGCTCATGATGCCAGGAATAGATTGAGCAGCTACTTGGAAATCTGTATAACTAAGACGGAGGGTTGTTTTGCCTACATAGGATAACATCGCCTCAGATCTGGCCTCAACATCTCCGATGCCTCCCGCAGAATTTCCTTGACTGATTCTGCTCCACCGAACTAGAGATCTACGCCTGATATGAGGCGACCGGCCCTGTTATCTCAGATTTCACCGAGAGTTAAAGGGGTGCTTTCAGGTCCGTTCTTCTCGAATCAGATCTGCATGGCGGATGATGAATTCTTTAAGAAGGTCATACTCTCTTAGACTCCACAGAGACTCAATGGAAGTGGATAGGCTGGCGTTAGACTTCTTTACGTAGTACACATGGCCATTGAAGGCTTTGTACACATATGAATCTGTTTCAACACATCCTTTGTGCGTGCCGGCATTGAGGCTGATCTGTTTACTGTAGGTAATATCGTCATTGCGATCAATGTATTTGCCGCCTGACAGCGCGTTTAGGAGCTCAGGCTGACAGCATTGAGCTGCATCTAGCTGTACAGCAGGTCAGCGTAATTCCACGCATATGTAGACAAGAGGAATAAGCCGGGAACAAGCACTTACGTTGGTGCAGAGAGGCACGCTGCAGTCATTGGTGTTTTTGCGGGAGTAAAATGTGCCTGTAATGCGTGGTCCCATACCGTGCGCATTGAGGTAGAAATCTGCCGTGTCCCAGCCAACGGCCCCGCTGTCCGATGCCTGGCAGCAGGTATCTACGTCAAGGTTGGTGCAAGATTCCCCAATATCGCTCCCACTGCAAGCAACGTGGCCGGGTTGCTGTTCCACTAAAGGTCAGTGTCATTTATTACAAAGGCGCGTTAGGCTTTCACTCACCGTGCGATAGAAGCGAGCGTCGACCTCAATTTGGGCATGGGCCAGACCGAGGACGATGGCGGTGACTGTTACAACGTTCGTGAAGAACATCTTCGGTTTCAACTCTATACCAAAAGCAAATGTACAAGACCTCCCAGGCGCTCTTAGGATTTTGATTTTATGAAAGCTGGGAGACCTGTTGTGACTATAGCCCATCATACTGTTGACGATGAGCTCACTTATATAGACAAGTACCTGATGTGAACTGGCCGACGTGAGTATGATTGAAATAGAGAGCATGGCCGTTTTCATCTGCGGCTGAAGTGGACGAAGTCTAGGTAGGCGTCAAAATGGTCTGATAGCACCACTATCACACATTCAGCTCTCCTATCACACATTCAGCTCTCCTATCACACATTCAGCTCTCCTATCACACATTCAGCTCTCCTATCACACATTCGGCTCTCCAAACACTCCCGCCGGCCCCCCCTCTCGACTTTAGCTATATCCTCGCTTGGCGTCATCCGAGAGCTCTTGTCGAGCAAAAACTTCAACATTACGTCATACGTTGTATGAGAGGATGGCTAGGACATGGACGAACTTGTTACTATGAGATTGCGAAAGCGGAGGGCTATCTATGTGGTCTAAATTCATCGCTTCAAAATGTAAGAATCATAGCTCATCTTTGACGTCGCTCGAATCGCTAGCAGCCTCACCCTCTATCTGCTTGGGTAGGTGCTCATCTAGCTCCATCCACTCTGCCGCGAAAACCGTGAGGATACGCGCCCAATCCCGTACTGTTGGCAGGTCCAGATGGGCACCGTCGTCTTCGATCTTATGCCATACGTCGGGGAACGGCGTCGGGATGATGTGCAGGATCTCGACACCTCGCTGCAAGAACGGTACATGATCATCTAGGACGTACCCACCACCGAAGCCGACCTTCTCTTTGTTCCTGTCCGTCAAAAAAGGATGTTTCGGTTTCGTTTCGAGAACATCCAGTTCGCGCATGCGATGTTCGATCTTTGCCATCTTCTTATACGCCCAGTGCGTGGAAGGGAAGTAAGATGGTATCCGGGGATTAGGGGCACCCAGAAGATCGATAAGAAGGAAGAGGCTAATGGACGAAAGAGGAGTCTTGTATAGACCATCAGGGTGAACAGAGTCTTCCCAGCTCTTGGCGAGCGCCCTAGAGGATGTTAGACAGACAAACTAGTGACGCAGAGATTCACCAAACATACCTGGCTCCATAGAGCGAATCTGTGTCCGTCCACGACACCCATGCTTCCTCTCCATCAAGCAGAATGATCTGAACGCCCTTCTCCTCCTCGAGCCCGCTCCCAGCGTCACCTGAGGCCTCCATTACCTTCCACTTCTTCACCAGAGCTTCCTCAATGTTCCTTGCCGCGTGGAGCAGCATCGCGCAAGGCGCCGCACTGTCAATCGCCCCAATGAACCCTTCCGGGTGGTACAGACTGTCATAGTGCGCCACGAGCGTCAGATACTCGACATCTCCGCCCTTGGCCCACGGCGGGTCGCGGCGGAAGATGAGGTTCGTGAAGGGTATCTCCTTATTTCCGGTCGCGGGCGTCTTGGATGTCGAGTTATGCCACTCGATGATCCACTCAGGCAGGTTGGCGCGGAAGAAGTCGACAAAGTGCTGCTGCACCTTGAGCGAGCCCGGGGTGCCGGGGACGCGGGGGATGAGGATGGGGGCCAGCAGCGAGCCGGTGTCAATGTTGAAACCATCGCCACCCGAGGGGATCGCGCGGAGGGCCTCGTCGCCGAGTTCGGTGTAGGCGGTCGCGGGGGTGAAGAGCGAGCAGAGGACTATGAGGATCGACCCGACGAGGGGTAGCTTCGGGAGGGAGTTCAGAAGACCCATTATGGTGACGGCGGCCAGGTCGGGCGCAGCAGGCTCATGCTGCTCTGGAACTGTGATCTGGGTTGTTCGATAGGTACGCGCCCGACGGCTTCTCTTTGCGCAATGTGTTCAGGTTGCGACCGCCGCCATGTTGGGCGGGGAGAAATGTGTTCTGTCAAAGACCCTGAGATGCAATGCGACTCAGGTCCCACGAGGTCCCCGCCGAGTGGTCGGGGCATTTGGTGGTCGAGGTGGAAATATGCCGAGGGAGGCTCCACTCACGGAGGCAGATCCACCGCTCCGCACGCCGCCTGGGAAACGCTAGAGGAATTCTGGGGTTGGGATGTCAACATCGCACTCGACAATTGGCACCGGCATGTAAGGCCAAGCCGTCGTCGCAAACATTCTTTTGAGGTATGTGATCAACGTCAGCTCGCAAAAGACTGGCTGACGGCGAGGTCCAATCATCGAGGAGCTCACCTTAGTCTTACCTTAGTCCCAGTCCGCGCACTCTAATCTCTCTAATCTCCAACGGATAGACCACATCGCCTATCCCCGATGGTCGGCATCTTCTCCACAGATCCTTCGGCGTTAACGCCACCTTCACTTACACTGGATGCCATCACGGAAGCATCTCTTCATCACTGACCATAGTCCAACCCCTCAACTTGACGAACAAAAGACCTTGCGGCAAGGAACCTTTGATATCACTTGGCATGGACCTATTGATTCTAATCTCCGTGTCGTACAAGCCATTGATAGGCCACTACCAGACACCTATCGCCGAGTGGCTTGAATGACGGACGAATTCTATGGATCTGACATGCAGCAGGATTCTTGCTCTCTCATATCATAGAGCAGTTGAATTAGACTCGAAGAATACAGACCATCGGGCTATAAGAGACAAGATGGTTCCGCTTCTGTTGAGGTAAGGTGCTTCATTATCATCAACACAATAGAACAATATCTTCATGTTATCTTGACTACAAGATAAATCTTCACGACTTTCGATACTTGATCAATCCTCCGCCTTACTACTTGAATCGGAATAGTTCACCTTCACAATGGATTCCCCAGTCTGGTTCATCACTGGCGCCTCCTCAGGGTTCGGCCTCGCCATTGCCAAAGAAGCTCTCTCGCGTGGCCACCGCGTCATCGCAACCGCCCGCAACCCAGCCAAGATCTCTGACCTGGCCTCCGCGGGCGCCAATACACTCCCCTTGGACGTCATCGCTGATGAGGCCACCATCACAGAGACCGTCAACAAGGCCTTTGCCATCCACGGCAAAGTGACCCACGTCATTAACTCAGCTGGTTACATCCTCGAAGGCACTATCGAGGAGGCCAGCGCCAAGGAAGTCTTTGACCAGTACAACACCAACGTCCTCGGCACTCTCAAGGTCTCCCGCGCAGTGGCCCCCCACCTCCGCGCCCAGGGCTTTGGTGCCGTCGTCAACATTGGAAGTCTCGGTAGCTGGAAGAGCGGTCCGGCCTTTGCCATGTACTGTTCCACCAAAGCTGCCGTCAGCCTGCTCACCGAAGGCTTCCACGACGAGCTGAAGCCGTTCGGTATTGATGTCTGCATCCTTGAGCCGGGTTACTTCCGTACCGGTTTCCTGAACCCAGGTGCACGCATCAAGGTTGAGCAGTCTGTTGAAGCGTATACCGATAGCGCAGCGGGCCAAGTCAGAAAGGTGCTGGAAACCGTCGATAACAACCAGCCTGGTGACCCGATCAAGGGAGCGCGTGTGGTCGTGGATGTTCTAACCAAGTCTGGGGTGGCCGAGGGTCGTGAAATCCCTCAGAGGCTGGCCTTGGGCACTGACTGCCTTGCGGTTGTTCGAGAGAAGTGTCAGAGCACCATGGCTCTTCTCGATGAGTGGGAGTCGATCTCCGCTTCGACCGACTTTTAGCGGCTAGGTCACTCGGCGGACTTTTTCAAGGCTCGTGAGTTGATTTTGATATTTTGATGGCCACAATGAGGGAAACAAAGAGATGTCACTGTAGCATAATTACGAATTTGATATAACTATGTTTATTTTATAACTACCCTAATCGGATGAATTCAGTGCGCCTTACGACTCCTCAGCCAAACAATCTCATGATAATTGCTAATATTGATATCTTTGCACCGAAAGTCATAAAGCTGACACCTTCATCCCCTTCGTATGTGAAACGTGTGATTTTTTGTGAAGAAGTAATTGGAAGCCTCAAGAGAATTGAATCCCCAATTCTACCTGATCTGAAAGTATGTTGGAAGGCTGGCGGGCGACATTGAGGAGTTGCTTGGCAAATGCTTGATTCAAAGCTTATTCGCGTTTAAATTCTCAACATCATGCATCTCATGACTCACATAGAGCTATAAATGGTCCTATTTCGCCTGAAGGGACTGATTAGATCACTTGAGATTTACGATCGGTCGCCAACGAACATTCAAAGTATGAAGTCATTATGTAAAGTGCCTCACGATTTCTACACAGCCTGGAAAGGAAAGTGAGGCCAACATCGTATTCGGGCCATATCCGCCAATCTAGCTAGCTATCTCTCCAGCACAGAGTGAACCTCATTTTTGGAACATCATAGTTGCTCATGTCTGTCTAGCCCCAGATCTCGCACTTGGCGTGGCACGCGGTAGAAACGCGACCGACGCTGTAGCTGAACATTCCGCCCATGGCACGAACCGGGCCGGGCTCGCAGTAGACGCCCTCAATCGCGGCGTCGGGGGCGCCGTAGTAGACGACTTCTGTAGTTCTGCATTGGCTGCGGGTACCGAATTCCTTGGCCATCGATGCCTTCAGCTCTGCGGGGATGGGCTTGTCGCAGGTATCGAAAGGCACATAGCACTTGTACTTGTCCCTTGGCTGGTTCTGGGCCAGAGCGCCTGAAGCTGCGCAGAGGAGGACAGCGAAGGTGAGAGAGCTGAACTGCACTGAAAAGATGTTAGACTCGTGGTTTGAAGATGTAGCCAAGGCATACTTAGTACGTACTGTTGTAATTTGGGGTGGTGATATCTAAGTTGCAAAGGACAAAGATTGTAAAGAGTGACAGTAGTTTGACTGAGGTTGTCCTGTGATAGTTTGGGAGTGTTCTAATGAAGATCTGAGTGTACATGCACTTTTGAGGGCGTAATCTTGAGATTTATATTCAAGTTCTGTAAGCTCTCGACGAAGTCGGACCGAGGCTGTCCAGAGAATAGGCAGACTAATCATGGCGCAATACGCACAATTGAGCTCGCAGGTTAGTTCGTGGTTTAGCGGTCCTTCTGTAAGTTTCTTTCGCCTCATCTCGGCCTTCTAGATTGCCTCGTTCAATCCTCTTTTGGCATAGCATCGGCCCTGGAACAAGTTGACAAACGAGAACGACGAAGGAAACTTCATTGAGGACTTTGTTAGCAAGAATTCAAGTACAAGAGTCAACCGATTATGAAAACATATTAAATGAACACGAACAGGCTAAGTGAATGTTGTTGAAGGGGACTTTTGACTCCAATGCACTATGCAATTTCGGCCGCCTTCCTCCTTTAGGCTGGTAAAAGGGAATCTGAACCCCGACGGGATATTTTTGTATGACTGTTGAGCAGTTGCCGCCTACTCTCAACTTCATTGAATCCTAAAATGAGCTATACTGTTTGTGTTGGTTACCTCGGCCCAGCCGAACCTTGAGGGATGCTGGTTTAAGCTTTATCTAGCGTAGTTGGTAATCCTTCGTCTCACCACGTAGGGCTTTTTCTAAGGCAAAGACTGAAAGTTGACCTGTGCATACGAGTTGTACAGTTAGAGACACACTGAATTGCCTAAATGCTTCGCACGTTTTAGGGAAGGCCAACTCTATGAATAACAAACCTAGATTTATGAATGCGAACTTACACCGGGATGCTTTCGAACTTCATTCCATTGGCGCCGACGGAGTGAGAATGCCGCGGCCTGTTTGGAACTTCTCACGGCTTCGCGTAGGAGAAGCTTCATGATTGTGAGTTGAGCGAGTTCTCTTGAAGTTGTCGCCGAGCGGCTTCTGGCCTTAAAAGGGAGCCTCTTTCGCCTGCCAAGAGTCATCTTCTCTAACCTCATCACCACAGTCTCTCACTCCTTGAACACACAATCATTTGAATCTGACCATTTTACAATCTTTCAACATGCGCTTCTCTGCATCAATTTTCACCGCCGTGGCCTTGGCGTCCATGGCCATGGCTCTTCCCACCGAGCTCCAAACCGTCGACTTGGCTGAGCGTGACTTCGTTGTCGAAACGCGTGATCTCTCCGGCCCCTCGTCTTCTGACGAGCTTCTCAGCCGTGCCACCTCCGATGAGACTGCCATTGAGATCCTTGAGCGAAGCGACTCGGACGAGGAAGCTGTTCCCAACACCGAGCTGGCCGTTCGCCAGCTTCCTCCCTCCAAGCGCAAGAATCTCTTCACGATCACCCTAAAGGGCGGCAACGTCATCTTCAACGGCGCCATCAAGTTCATTCTCGAGGCCGTTGTCGATAGCACCAACCGAGTCACTACGTTCCACCTCAACCCCTTGGTTGGCGGTACCCCTGGCTCCACCGCTTCCATGCGCAGCTACGAGTTCAAGAAGAACTTTTTCGAATCAACCATCAACCGCGTCTCTGCTGAGGTTTCCTTCACTTACAAGACCGCTTCCGGTGTTATCTACAACTTCCTCGCTAATGTTGTCTACGGAATCGACTCTCGTCTCAGCCTCAAGCTTGAGGATGTCCAGCTCTTCGACATCGAGAAGGCTACCCAGCAAATTGCTGGCAAGGCGGCCACCAACCTGTTCCTTGGTTCTTACGATGATGATTACAAGGACTTGTAGATGAAAGTCTACAAGAACTTCCAAGAACTTATGGCCGAGGTCCCCCATCAATCATACGTTTTCAGTTGTTAATGAACCCCTTTTTACTCTACAACAGCTCAAGCCACCGACCAAAGTAGATGGGGGACGGCCTAATTGTTTGGATTACGGCTCCTGAGGATGAACGTGGATTGGTATCTGTCTCAATCAGTAGTCTCTAAATTTCATGTTACGGAAAGATGTTGGGAAACTTAAAGATACGTGGATAGATTTCCAATTGATTCTCTATGTGCCATTTATTTACCTTGAGTAAGATGTCTCTACCACAAACTCTGGTTGATGGAATGTTCAGTCTTGGATTCGAAGTGTGTGCTAGAATTGAAAACTCCACGTTACTAATCAACAAAGCAGGCGCCTGGACTTCTTGTCACATCCGGCCTTGCGTATAATTTCACGACTAGGTTTACAAAGCTTGGCGTCTGTTTTGCTTGGTGGATACCAGCGGAAATATTGTCACACACTGTGGAAGTTGGTAAATGCTACTAGCACCGACATTTTGTGGACAAGTGGTGTGAACAGTGAGATCCAAGTGGCCCGCATGTCAAACTCGAATAAATCCATTGAGCCTGCTTCTCACCCACTCCTTTCATTTGGCCTTTGCATATCCTCAGCTTCACTCACAACTTGGATCCCCTCCTTTGCGACGTTGGGTTTTGTCGGATTGGAAGTCCAATTCGACCGCGGCGTACGGCCGACTGCGCAGGGGCCAATTAGGGCCCTACTTCCGATTATCGCAGCCTGCCCAACCTACGGTTGGAACCTCCCTTTTACACCTACGCAGCAGATTATATAGTCAATTGATCTCTTCGTCAACTACGGTTCGAACCAACTACCCTGTAATAGGGATACCAACAATCTACCCTTTTCACAGCTTTTGGTAGGAGAGTCTTACAAAAACCCAATTCCCGCGTGGCCAAGAGCGCTACAACCGGTGCACTTCCTAGATCATCCAACGCTATTGTACTATTTGTTTTTGGAGATACAAGCTCATCAATCGAAGGTCGGTTCGAATCACCTTGAAGCAACAAATTTCTTAACCTACTAAACACAGCGTTTTTGTTGACTCGGTAAAACCAAAAAAACCCTCAAGGACTTTTTGAAGTTAGGATAAATGTTTTAAACTTCATTAGGAAAATGGTTCTCATTTATCACTTGAATTGAAAACTTAGATGCTGTTGTATCTTAGAAAAGTCTATTTGAATAGTTTTTTCTTTATAAAAGCCCGCCTCTCAATCTCTCATTCTTCATCTTAATAGATGCTATATACTAAAACCACCTCTACGTGGCCTCATGAGGGCTGTGCTCTTTTTAAACCACCAGAGGCGAAAAGCCCCGAGGAGTGGACGACGGCTTCCAACCATGTCTCCACGTCGTTGCTGCGTGAACGTCTGCCTAAGATCCCTCTTGACCAAGAACTTAAGAAATACGTCAACGCTACAACAACGATCGGACCACAGAATCGACGACAATTTATCCAATAACACTTTGGAGACCATATAAGAGGACGTTGCTGCTACATCACAAGCGAGGGTCTCCTCGGGATGGATTCAGGCTACATGGCTGTCGGTGATGCCGTTGTGCAGTTTGGTTGCTCTACCCCTATCATCATCCGTCTGGAAGGGAGTGATGAGGGTTACCGCTAGGTTGGAGATGCTTATTTCAACGGCTTCAAATATGGAATAGCGCAAGATTCAGTGGCAAATAGGGGACAGGAAGGAGCAAAAGTTCAAGTTGCGCTGACAAAAGGAGATAATAATGATGTGGTAACATCCGTAGACCACCGATGGTGGCGCATCTTGGAGGTTTCAAAGTTACGCAAGAATTGCTCTTTAGTCTTTCACAATTGTAGCAACTTACTTCTCTCATCTCTCAACAATATTCTGCACTCGTCAAGCAACTGTCGTCTCCCCCTTTCGCTTGGAAGTCCTGGCCTGAGGTTGAAAATCACTTCAAGTTGACCAATTAGACGGTAGACTTCGGCATTGGTGTTTGTGGAGAGATATCCGCTTCTCTGAAGGACCCAATCGATAATCTCTCAAGTTATTTTGCTGCAAGGCAAATCAATGGTCTATCGTTTCGACTCCACCTACCTGAAGCAGGCTTCCTCTCAAGCCTAGCTTGCTTTCGAGGTTTGCATAACTCGTATTGATTGTACTCTTAGATTCACGCTGCCCTCCTCCAGACAAAGCGCCTGCTGTCATAGATGATTTCTTTGGTGGCCTGTATCCGTGATAATTAGCGAGTATCCTTAAGGGAAATCGTTGCACTATACGTTTGTGGGCGTCATGCCAGCCTGGAGAACAAGGGACCTTGATTGGCCGGAGATGAGTCGAAGAAATTGGCCGTGTCACTGGCAAGAAGTGCGATGTCGAATCCGAGCTTATCAAGTATTCTCTCAAAGTTGTTGGTTGTTTACGGTATTGAGTGTAACCTTACCTGAGGCTGATTTGCAGGCGTCCTCGTATCTTTGACGAATCTGGCGTGAGCGTGTTTGTACGGCTTGGCGTTACATGCCGCGTCGGACACCGTTCGGTCCAGGAGATTGGCGATGTGACTCCCGCTTACGCGGTACAATGCCGCCGCCTCGCTCGTGAACCGTCTATCCGTACTCCATCGCTGGCTCGGGTGCAAGGAAGCGGCCGACAGGGCTGCGGTGTGTAACGGAGTCCTGCAGACTGCAGTCTCCTGAATCTCGGTTTCTCTGATAACACTCCAGGGCGCAGCCACTGTGATGCTAGCGTCACAGACACCAAGAAGGCAGGTTCTAGAAATTGCGGATATGAAGAAGAACCAATAGAAGGGTTCCGGCCCTGCTAGCATCCATTCCCGCTCTGCCGCCGGTAGGTGGGAGCCTGGATACAGCCTCCTAGTGGTGGGTTTGGTCCGTTGGGCTGTGATTTGCGCCGCCTGCCGCCATCGTTAGCCCGCAGATGAAGCTCTTTCGATGCCTCGGGATTAGGGGCTTCTTCCTCCGCTAGCTTGTGGCAATGACGAATGCTCCCTGAGCCTGTACCCTGGTTGCAGAGACTTCCATGGAGACGTAAGGAGGGCCCGAACTTAATATGATTGAGTATGAGCCATACTACGTACATAATACCGCAAGATTGATAGCTGTGATCGTGCGGGACGACCCCTGGAGTGAACAGCCAATTCTGATGGGTGTCCCAAACAATAACACCGAAGACTCCACATATGCACAGTCCGTAGCGGCAACACGGCTTACAAATGAAGTAGGGTGCTGTCCGCGGTCTTGCAAGCGGACCCCGAAGAGCTTGAGCTAGCACTTGCGAACAAGCAAAATGTCCGCCTTGGCGGCAATGTTGGCTCTTTTCGTCACAACCAAAATTCCAATGCCGTGGCAACCACAGCTTCATGAAAGTCATCAGACATGACGTGCATCCCGTTTCGGATTGGTGTGTTCTTGTCAACTTTGTCGTTCGATGGTCCTTGAGGGTAGACTGAAGAATCGGTGTAAGTGGATGTAACGATGAACAGGGTGAATGGGGGAGGAATCTATAAGATTTATCGAAGCCCGCATCGTTCCAAGAGGTAGCAGTGTTTTTAATGTCTGTTTCGAGTGACGTGACAGTGCTTGTGCCTCATGGTGGTCGAGCCATGTCGTTGTAATTTAGTGTTGCACACCTTGGTGCTTGATGTAGTCAAAAAAGGGGGTCTTGGATGACTGAGAAGCCGGGGAAACAAGGTGCGGCAAGTTCCAAAAAAATGAAGATCAAATGAACGAATGGTCTTTTCAGTCTGGACATAAGCTGTCTTTAGACGTTGGGAATTTGGACTTCTCGGAAAAGCATACGGGGTCGACGGCGCCCGCTCGGGTCGCTTCAACTTTCCGAGAGCCCGTATAATGGAGACCGCCCCACACCTCCGACTTCCTGACAACGTTGCGGACTTTTTCGTGATGATCGCCGCCAAGGGAGCCGCCGCCATCGACCCACACTTTTCACTTACACGCGGGCTGCAGGCTATGACAAGATGCAAGAATTTGGATACCCTAATCAAGCTCAAGTGCTCAACCAACGTGTCTCTACGTCAACTTGTGAGATTGTGGCATATCTGGTGCACGGATGACCCGGGGCTCTGGATCGACTTTTGAGCCTTCGGATGCTGAGATGGACCCCTTGCGTATTATGGGCCGGGGACACACGGGGAGCGAGACACTCCGTTGACATGTTGATAAATCTAGACCCAGGCTTATTTTCATGATATGTTTCGAGTCTTCAGCCGAAAGCTATTACATGGGCTTTCCTCCTTTTTACACAACCACAACTTACGATAATACTTTCCCTCTCTTCATCTGACTGGGACTGTTCACTCAGCGGCTATCACAACAAGCCGAGCGAACAACTGGTTGATGCTGACCGGTAGGCTTCCGCATACGTGATGTGATTGAGATCTTGTTGACTGATAGAGCCTCTCGTGATAATAGGATAGCAAGATATACTTGCAGCCGCTCCATCAGCCAGCCGTCTCAGGACACCCATATACCTTAATTCACCAACCGACAATATGTCCGCCTTTAACTCAGATGAGAAGTCTCGTCTGCCGACCCGTTCCCCGGCCGGCAGTCAGAAGACGGTAGTCGATCACGATGCGATTTTCACTCAAAACGCGGAAGCACTCCCGACCTCGAAGCCCAAGGACAACTCCCTGTACGAGAAAGCCGGCGATGGATCCGCTGCATCAACATCAGAAGATGATGGCAACGACACGGAACTAGAACGTCGCCAGTCGATCGTCCAAGAACTAGCTCGGGAGTACACGCGACACTCCGCGGTCAACATCGATGGAGACAGCATGGCATTGTTCGGCAGCGAGGACCCCAATTCGCCCCTCAACCCCAACGGAAAGAACTTCAGCGCTCGCAAGTGGGCAAAGACTCTTGCAAATGTCACCAATGAGCACGGATCAGGGTATAGAACTGCTGGTTTCGTTTACCAGGACTTGAACGTCTTCGGATTTGGCCAAGAGACGGATTACCAGAAGGATGTCGGAAACGTTTGGCTCGAGATTCCTGGTCTCGTTCGCAACCTCACCTCGAAGACCGGAGGCCAACGCCGCATCGATATTCTCCGCGAGTTCAACGGTATCGTGGAGGCAGGTGAGATGCTTGTCGTTCTTGGACCCCCAGGATCTGGCTGCTCTACCTTCCTTAAGACCATCGCTGGAGAGATGAACGGCATTTACACCGACGAGCGTGCCTACTTCAACTACCAGGGTCTTTCGGCAAAGGAACTCCACAAGCACCACGCCGGTGACGCCATCTACACTGCCGAAGTCGATGTCCACTACCCTCAACTTTCCGTGGGCGATACCCTCACCTTCGCGTCCCGTGCCCGCTGCCCACGAACCCTGCCCCCGGGTGTCACCGCCAACCAGTACTGCGACCACCTCCGCGACGTCGTCATGGCCATGTACGGTATCAGCCACACCGTCAATACCCGTGTGGGCGACAACTATGTCCGTGGTGTCTCTGGTGGAGAGCGCAAGCGTGTAACGATTGCCGAAGCGACGTTGTCCAATGCTCCTTTGCAGTGCTGGGATAACTCAACCAGAGGTCTCGACTCCGCCAACGCTGTCGAATTCTGCAAGACCCTTCGTTTGCAGTCTGAGTTGTTCGGCCAGACCTGCGCCGTCTCGATCTACCAGGCGCCTCAGAGTGCTTACGATCTGTTCGATAAGGTTGCCGTTCTCTACGAGGGACGTCAAATCTATTTCGGCCGCACCACCGAGGCCCGCCAGTACTTCATCAACCTCGGCTTCGAGTGCCCAGCCCGTCAGACTACCCCTGACTTCCTCACTTCGATGACTGCGCCTACAGAGCGTGTTATCCGTCCCGGTTGGGAGTCTCGCGTACCTCGTACGCCTGATGAGTTCGCTGCGTGCTGGAAGGAGAGTCGTGAGTGTGCGGCTCTCAAGCAGCAGATTGAGCAGTACAAGACGGATCATCCTTTGGATGGCCCGGATGCCGAAGTCTTCAGAAACCAGAAGCAGTCGGTCCAAGCCAAGAACCAACGTCTCAAGTCTCCCTTCATCCTCTCGTACGGACAGCAAGTGAAACTCTGCCTCTGGCGTGGCTTCAAGTTGCTTAAGGGTGACCCTAGTCTGACACTGTTCTCCCTGATTGCCAATTCGTGCACGGCTCTCATCATGTCCTCCCTGTTTTACAACCTCCCGGAAAACACGTCTTCCTTCTACAGTCGATCCGCGGTTCTCTTCGTCGCCATTCTCGCCAATGCATTCTCCAGTGCTCTCGAGATTCTCACTCAGTACGCCCAACGGCCCATCGTTGAGAAGCAACGTCGTTATGCCTTCTACCACTCCTCGGCGGAAGCCTTCTCCTCAGTTTTGGTGGACATGCCCTACAAAATCACGAATACCATCTGCTACGACCTGATCATCTACTTCATGACGAACCTGAACAGAGAACCCGGCAACTTCTTCTTTTTCCTCTTAACCACATTCCTCATGGTGCTGTCCATGTCTGGCCTTTTCAGATCTATGTAAGTCACTTTTTCTCCGTACCAAGAGTGACTCTAACACCAATCAGTGCCTCCTTGTCCCGCACATTGTCGCAGGCCATGGTTCCCGCGTCGATCTTGATTCTCGCGTTGGTCATCTTCACTGGATTCGTCATTCCCGTTGACTACATGCTTGGCTGGTGCCGATGGATCAACTACCTGGACCCTGTCGCGTACGGATTCGAATCGGTGAGTTGAAAGCCCTGCTATTTTAGTGAACGTCGACTAACCTTAATACTTTTGAAGCTCATGATCAACGAGTTCCACAATCGGAACTTCGAGTGTGCCGCCTTCGTCCCCAGCCCTGCAGTTGCCGGTTATGAGAACATTACCCTCGCCAACAGAGCCTGCTCCACTGTCGGTGCCGTTCCTGGCGAGCCGTTCGTCAACGGTGACAGATACATCAACTCCCAGTATAAGTACTTCAACTCTCACAAGTGGCGCAACATCGGAATTCTCATCGCTTTCATTATCGCCCTCCACGCCTTGTACTTCGTTGCCACCGAATACATTGCCGCGAAGAAGTCCAAGGGAGAGGTTCTTGTCTTCCGTCGTGGTGTTGCTGCCCCTGTCAAGGGCAAGGACGACCCCGAATCCTCTCTCTCTGGACCCGCTACCATCGTCGAGAAGGGCGGACAAGGTGCCTCCGCCAACGAGGGTGCGATCCAAGGCTCCACCAGTGTCTTCCACTGGGGTAACGTGTGCTACGATGTCAAGATCAAGACCGAAACCCGCAGGATTCTGGACCATGTGGATGGCTGGGTCAAACCTGGAACTCTTACGGCTTTGATGGGTGTCTCTGGAGCTGGCAAAACTACCTTGCTTGATTGCCTGGCAGATCGTGTCTCCATGGGAGTGATTACCGGAGAGATGCTGGTTGATGGAAAGATCCGTGACCAGTCCTTCCAACGCCGTACTGGCTACGTTCAACAACAGGACCTGCATCTCGAGACCAGCACTGTTCGTGAGGCATTGGAGTTCAGTGCTCTTTTGCGCCAGCCAGCCACCACCCCTCGCGCTGAGAAACTGGCATACGTCGACGAAGTCATCAAGCTTTTGGATATGCAGGACTACGCTGACGCCGTTGTGGGTGTCCTCGGCGAGGGATTGAACGTCGAACAGCGCAAGCGACTTACCATTGGTGTGGAACTGGCTGCTAAACCCCCCTTGCTTCTTTTCGTCGATGAACCTACCTCTGGTTTAGATTCGCAAACGTCATGGGCTATCCTGGATCTGCTTGAGAAGCTCTCAAAGGCCGGCCAGTCTATTCTTTGCACTATTCACCAACCGTCTGCCATGTTGTTCCAACGTTTCGACCGTCTGCTGTTCCTGGCAAAGGGTGGCAGAACCGTATACTTTGGCGACATCGGCGAGAATTCCCACACCCTTACATCCTACTTCGAGAGGAACGGTGCCCCTGCCTGCCCTCCTGGCGAGAACCCGGCCGAATGGATGCTTTCTGCTATTGGCGCTGCCCCCGGATCACATACCGATGTCGATTGGCACCAGGCATGGAAGTCTAGTCCCGAGTATGAGGCTGTTCAAGAGGAACTTGGCCGCCTCAAGACTCAAAGCCCGCCCCAAGAGCACTTGTCCGCCGAAGAAGAGAAGTTGGCACACCGCGAATTCGCCGCCCCGTTGTGGGATCAATTCCTGATTGTCACTCGCCGTGTCTACCAGCAGTACTGGCGTACTCCCTCTTACCTGTACGCCAAGTTCATTCTCTGCTGCTCCGTTGCCCTCTTCATCGGTCTGGTATTCCTCAACGCACCTCTCAGTATCCAGGGCTTGCAGAACCAGATGTTCGCTATCTTCAACATCCTTTCCATCTTCGGTCA